AACGAATAACCAAATCAATTTGATTTATCGGGTTTTAGTCCTTAACGATTCGGTTTCCGATTTAACAAATAAGAAAATGCTCATAAAACAAATATATAGAATTTCTCCAATAATTTGACACGATAGGACAATAATAAAACTTTACAAATGCTCATAAAATAGAAACAATCATATATATATATATATATATATATATATATATATATATAAAGCTAGATAAAAAAGAAGTGATGTGACACCTCTCAATGGTCAAGGATCTTATTTATCTTTTTTTGTGATTTTTTGACATTTTTTTCTAATTATTCTCAATTATTTTGTTTTATAAAATCATCTTCTAAATTCATACCTCTTCAATTATATAAATTTAAATCTTAATTAATTTAATAATATCTATAACTCCTAACCTTTCATATTCATAACCTTCATATTATTTAATATACAAATTTATAACTCCTTAAAATGACACTTAGAAAAACTTATCTTGAGACATGTATGGTGATTATTTTATGTTCATTTTTCTTATTCTTCATCTTGTGTTTTTTTGGTTGGTCATTTTTTGTCTTCTTTGATCTTATTTGCACGAGAGATATGTATAATGAAGAATATTTTACATAGTTGAATTTTACGAGGTAAAATGTTATAATTATCACTTTTTTCTATTGTAATTATATATTTAATATTATTTTTTTATATTCTAGATGATACAAAACATGAACTTTTTTTTAGAAAATGAAGTGATTTTTTTCTCTTTGCTTCTCTTTGTGGTTCTTAGATTCTTTTTTTTTTTTTTACTTATTTTTGTAGTTTTAAAGAATCTGATTATTTTTACTCTCTTCTTCTCTTTGTAGGTTTTGAAGAATTGATTATGTTGTGTTGAGAGCATGGTCCTTCTTTCCTCTTCAACTCATAATTGAATATTCTTCAAAGTTTTTACTTGATTAGTTAACTTTATTATTATGTATTTTTTGTTGTTGTTGTTGTTGTTGTGTTGTTGTAAGGTTAACTTATCGTGTTTTCAAGTCAAGATATTTTTGAAAAAAAAGAGTAGAAAAGGGAGTTAATATATACATGTATGCTACTCAAGAAAGTATGTAGATAATTTTGTAGTTATGTGGATAATTTTTTATTAATTATAATGATAGAACACGAGAATGTAAAGTTGATTTGTAATTTTCAAGATACAGTTTAATTCATAGAAAATTTGATTATTAATATGTAATTTGCAATCTTCATATTTTGATTTTATTATTATTATTGTTAGAAGTTTTCAAGTTTTGAGATTTTTAGAGATCACTATTATGATTTGTTGGGTCCGAACTCAAAATGTGAAAGTATTTGGTTAGGATAAAAATAATTTAGTAAAACTATTTGTCTCTCTCAATCTACTTACTTTACCAACATATAAATTATCTAGAAGAAAAGTGATATGACATTTTTTTTTTGCCAAGAATCATATTTATCTTCTTCTTTTTTCTCATTTTCTTGATAATTTTTTTTTGTCTATATATTCTTATTATTGTACAAAAATAAATATGTCAATTACTATTCCTTTATTTATTCATATTCTTTAATAGAAAATTCTAATTGCCTTTTATTTTTCTTACTTTCATGACATTTGATGATCATGTAACTTCTAAATTATATTAATATAGTCATGTCATAAAATTATTTGATATTTAATTATCTTTATTTTCCATACTTTCATGATTTTAATGATCACAAATCCTAAATTACGTTAAAAGTCATGTTCATGATATCATTTAATATTTCATATTGTTATCTTATAATTAGAGGCATTATAAAATTTTAATATAAAAATAATAAAACTTATATGTATACTAAAATTAGAGATTATATATATATATATATATATATATATATATATATGACTAAAAATAATTTATTTTTAACTCTCTTATTGATTAAGAAAAAAATTAAATTTCGTCATTTAGTTCTCTTAATAACAAATTTGTGTTTAAAGTGTTAAAGAAAAGTCATATATATAATCAATCTTCTTTGTGTGAATTACATATAAACATTTCTATTATTATTACTACGTAATAATTAAAAATGACAAGCTCCAAAATTGTATCATATAAACAATTAAAAGAATATAGTTGATACCTCAATGAAAAATATGGAAGAAGACAAAAAAGAAAAAGGGAAATCTAATAGGAACAATTGTATTAGTGTTGTAAAAAATTATTCAACTCTTGGTACTTTTTCTACATCTTTGTCGTTGCATACACATATTCTTTTAAAAAAAATATTTCTTCTCACTACTGATAATCTCTATACGATAAATTATGTGATTAATTTTATTTTATTTTTATTGTAAAAGTAAAACCTCAATGACAGTGTTTCACTATAGCAACTTAATTCTCTCTTCTCGCAATGCATACTATAAGAATGAAAGTTTAAATATATATTTTAAATATTAATGGATCTTATGTGCCACAAATATGTAGTAAATGAATGGCAATACGATCATCAATCATCGAAAAAAATTTCTCTAACTTTTGAATCTCGGGCATATATATGTTCGAATTTAATTCATGTATTTTTTTTCTCACCATGATTTAGCACAAATATATTTTGATTTGTTTATTTTTTATTATAGAGTCATTTATACAAAAAAAAAAAGTCATGTAATTTATGATCAAGTAAATTTAGTATTGTTGGTTGAACCAATAATATTACTATAAGAATCATTGAATTTAGTATGAAACTATGATAATTAGATTGTTACTTAACTAAAGCTTTTCATATCAATTTTTATGTTTTCATTTTTTTTTATCAGCAATTTTAAATTGAAAATGCAGCATGCGATTTTTTAACAATTTTTCTAAATAGATAATATCATAATTGTAACTTAATTTCTACTTATATCTTTTATTATATCATTTATTAATTATTTTAAAATAAATTTAATATCTTTTTATATCCGCGCGAAGTGCGGACAAGTACACTAGTAGTAACTCTAAAGAAAAGAACTATACAAGTGCAAGTGTGCAATACAAATAAAAGAGTTTGTTTCTTGTGAACTCAAAATTACTTTGAAATGTATGTGAATTGAAGGCTAAAGAGCAAATGAAGTAACCAGTAAGATATTGATATCAATATTTAATATTTATATAAGGATAAGTAATAAATTACTATTATCTTAATATGTTATTGATTTATCTAATAATCTAATAAAAAAAAAAACCAAAATCAAATCAATAATCTGATAAAAAAAAATTTGATTCAATTTATTGATCGATTCGATTTTATATTAGTAAAGCACTATGATAATTATAAGTAGTACTTTTATGTTTTAAGTGCCATAATGGAAACCACAGGTGTTGTTGGTTCAATGAATCTTTTTATATATTTATGTTAGGGCCTATATTATGTTTAGGTTTAATTTAGTGGCCATAAGTATGAAAAAAGTTGATGGTATTTGACCTGCCATTAGAGTTGCAATTTTTTATTTTATTTTTTGGCTGCTTTCATTCAGACCTAGCTATTAATTTTCACACACATAGTATAGTAATAGACTAGCTGAGGAACTTGATAACTCTTCTCATCTACTTGTTCAAAATCATATGCAGCTTTTGTCTATTTCTGCAAAAATGTTCCCACAGCCACCCTAGTAACTTCAATTTGGTAATTCTTGGGTACATAAAACCACCCTTATTAAAACAAACAGTTTAAAAACTTATTTATGTGTAGAGTTTTGTTTACCATAATTTTAAAAAAAAAACTAGGTATAGTACTCATGTATATATTATTGTTTTTGGTTTTCGGTGTTTAATATTCATTTTGGAGCTCAAAAGTTTCACTTTGATAGAGAGGGCGGTAAAATGCTCCCTACTAAAGATGATTTCATAACTAGAGGTCGAATCCCAAACTTTTGGTTAATGTTGGAGAAGTACTTATCACTTAATCACCACAACCTAAAGACAACTTGATGGTATACGATTTTCTTAACTAACGATGTATATATAAAGTTTTATAGCACACTATAATTAAGTGTATATGTTACCTACTAGTATAACAAGTGAAAATGAGCTGAGTGTGGAAAGTGTTTACGCTTGATAGTGTACGTAGTTTAATTTATTTATTTAACTCTAATCACACACTTCTTGAATATATATATACGTGTTTAACTAACGAAAAAAATCATGCCCACACGTGAAAACAGAAAAATCTTGAAACAATATAATATAATTAACTATTTATCCACCGACTCAAGTATATCAAAACCTAAATTTAACTCAATAACACTTCCAAATGTCACTTCTTTCCATCACATTATTAACCAAATAACACTTCCAAATGTCACTTCTTTCCATCACATTATCTTCAAGACAACTAAGAATCTAAGTTTGATTTCAAACCAAATGATCACTTACTTTAATAATATGAGAAATATGAGTGGTGGGGGAGGGGATGTGGGGCAAAAGACTTATAATAACTATGTATAAAATGACAAGAAATATATATAATCCCCATGCAAAGTTATGTAACTTTGAGTTGAAATGAAACTAATTTGTTGTCCCATGTAGAGGAGCAAAATCTAGTTTCATTTAGAACATGTTTTTTTGTACCATATAGTTACTCTCCAATCAGATCCCTAGCTTCAAGCCAAACTAGTACATCTATATGGACTACATTTTTTATGAGTGCAAAATTGCTCAAAAGCTGATTTCACTAAAAAATAAATAAACAGATCATATTCTCCCAATTTCTTGACCCCATTTTGTCAGATATGTAGTCTCAAATATCTCTCTTTATAATGTAAAATTAAATTATGACTATAGGTAACTCTTCATATATGTATTTAGATAGGAGTTATATGAAGAGTTATCTATTGTCATTGATTAATTTTACGAAATATTAAGAAATTTATATATCGTGGTTAGGGTGTTGCCAAACCCCCTAGCACTTAGGAGGTGAAAACTTCTAAGTGAATGGATTCCGGTTAAAAAAGAGAATTAAGGTAACTCTTCATATTAAGTAATGAAAGATAGAGTGATAGTCTGCTATATAAACTGTCAAATTACACGGATAATCATTGTGTAAAATTTCTCTACGTTGTCAGTGTACAAAACTTTAATTATAACTACATTAAAAAGATAATTAAGACTAGCACAAAAAGAAAGTTAAACATAGAACAAGGAAATAAAGCAAAATAAAATGACAAAAAAACTACTAAAATCCATCTTGAAATCGATCCAAATGTTGTTGTTTCCCACTAGAGCTACTTCCATTATTGCCAAGTCCAAGTCCATGCCCTATTGGTGCACCAATGCAAGTGTAATTATTACTATTATTATTATTGTTGTTGTTACCGTGATCAGGCCCCAGAGCGGATGATCCCATGAAGTTATTGGTAGTACTTGTCGAGTGTGTGTTGGATCCTGACAAGACATGGCCTAGGAAGTAGTCGTTTGTTTGGGCCGGATATTGATGAGAAGAGAATGAAACCATACGCGGTGGAGAAGCGTACATGTATGATGGTTGATGTGGTGGTTGTGGTGGTGGAGATGGCAAGAGGGTAGTGGTGGAATTGCCTGAAAATAACCTTGTTGGATAAAGTGATGATGGTGGTGGCGGTGGCCTATATGAGAGTGTTGGATCACCAATGTTTGTTGATTGGTGATAACCTCCTCCATGAGGAATTGGAGGACAACTGCAAATATATAAAAAATCGAGTTTAAGTTTTATGTATTAACCAAGTAAAATAATCAAACATAAAATTTTCTAATAAGTTTTAGTTAGTAACTTGATATGACTAATAAAGATATAATATATCCTGTTAAAATATGTTGATGGCATTAAAAAAAAAAAATTAGATTATAAATGTACGTATATATAACATAAATTCAAAAATTAATACTACCTAGTCAAAAAGAGAAGATCAAAGATATATTTAGTGAAAAAATAATACTCTTAAGAGAAAAATGAAATTAACTTAAATAGTAGTCAATTCAACAAATTAAACTAAAAATAACCAATAGATATACGTAATGAGTATAGTTTATGTTGTAATTAGTGTATAACGGTATATAATTATTGTATATCGACTTTAAAAAAGTAAACAGTAAATTCGATCAGCGAAAAAACGAAACATACCTAAGGTGATGTGGAGGGATTATGTTATCATTGTTGAAGACAAGTTGACGAGCTCGATTTAGTGTTTCTGTCTCCCTCTCTATTTCCAAAAATAAAATAAAAAAGAACAAAATCAAAAAATCAAAATCAAAAATTAAATCAAATCAAATCAGAGAATATTTATTTACTCCATTTATTTCCACCCAACCAACTATTTCTACTATTTTTGTATGAAAACAAGATTGACATGACTACGCTTCTGGAAATAAAATCATTGACCAATACTGTTAACACCTCAAAATTATAACCCCAAAATAACAAATAAAAGAAAAAAAAACATTTTAAAAAAAGTTAACTCCTCACATTACTAATTCAATTTTGCTCAAAATTTTTGTCTAATTGTTTCTTGTTTTGTTGGTTGAAATTTTAAAAAAATAAAAAATTAAAGGTTAAATATTTTTTTGGCAAAGAAATAATAAACATCCTTCCTTCTCTCTAGCTCCGCCACGCCCTAATTTGCAAGACAACAAATCCTACATAAATATTTTTTCATAGTCATATTAAATCCTTCAAAATTATCACAAATACGATCGACCTACATATATCTTTAACAAAAGAAAGAAAATGTTGGAATGGTCATATTGTCAAATGCGATCGATCGATCCATATATATTATCAATATCGTCTAGCAAATCTAGAAGGAGGTGACTCGTAACTCATTTTCAAAATTAAAAATATAAAAAAATTATATTTTCACCGTCTGGTTATAAATAACCGGACAGTGAAAAGACAAGTGACTTGCCTTGACGGTGGCGGTTCATGTGTCCCCCAAGTGCTTGTGATTTGCAAAATTTGAGGGAACAAAACCTACACTCATAAACTTTACCACAATCTTCTTTACCGCCGTTTTTCTTTTTTCTATACCCTCCTCCTGCAAATGTAAACAAAAAGTTGTACAAAATTAAATTTATTTGATAAGACAAATCATAAAAAAAAATAAAAAAAAATCTTTAATTAGTATTAGGGTTTTTGCTATATCGAGGAAGCTAGGAATCAACAAGATAAAATAATTTAAAAGTAAAATTTATTTTTTTGGAAAAGACTATGAAATATGAATGTCCAAAGTTACTTTCTTGCTAAAAAAATGAGGAGAAAATGAAAATGAAAAATAAATAAGAGTTGTATTAATAGATTAAACAAAGCTAGAATTAAGCTATATCTTACATGATGTTTGTTTTCAAAACTGTATCAAAAACTTGAAACTTTTTTTTTTTTTTTGTAAAACTAAATAATAGGTACCAAAGGGGTTTTAATTTCTCCTTTAAAAAAATGTTTTGCCTCTTGTAGTGATTTTTGTGGAGAAAGATTTCATTTTTCAAGAAAAAAAGGCATTTAAGTTGACATGGACTATTAGTAGTTTTTGTTTGAACAAAAATAAATCTTGAAATTTTTCTTGATCCTTTTTTTCCTCTCAAACTAAATTGTAGGTTGCAAAGGATTTTATATACCAGGTCGAAGGAGATTCTGATGAACCCCTTCACCGAAAAATCATACTATATATATATATATATATATATATATATATATATATATAAGATCAAGATTTATATATATATATAATCAAATATTTAACCCTCGCTGAAAATTCTATTTCTGCCACTATTTGTTCAAGAAATAATGATGTTTATATATGAAGTAGTACTAGTAATTGTTTGGAGAAATATATACATATAAATCTTGAAATTTTTCATCTTCTTGATGGCATAAGGGTTTTTGTATGAAGAAAAAATCCTATTTTTTTTTTGTCAAAAAGAAAAACAGACAAAGTTGATATAGTAGTAATTATATGTACCGGAAGATGAAGAGCTACCTTCAAGGACTTGTTTACCATCTCTACAAAATTCTTCATGAGGTAAATTGTTGAGGTCAAGTGGATTTCTTTCTGGACTCCTACAAAAAAAGTTTAAAAAAAATAAGAAACAAAAAAAGTTAATTAAAAAAAAAGTATAGTGGGGTGAACCCTACATGACTACTAGTAGTAGAAGTGAGTAAAGAAATTTTGGCCAAATAATTAAAAAGACTTTCAGTTTGAGACTGAAATGTGTAGAGGGCTATAGTTGGAGTTGGAGTTTGAGTTTGAGTTTGAGACTTTGAGTGATGATGAAGAAAAAGGCTGAGGGTGTTTTGTGGGGTTTTCTCTCTATATATCTGCCAAATCTCTCTCTAAAATTGAACATACATATGCAGATCTAGGGGCTCTCGTGACTTTTTAAAGAGGAGTATGTATGTGTGAAAAAAGGGACCACTTAATTAGGATCAATCCCGTGGCGTAGTCAGAAATTTCGTCAAGTACGGTATATTTAGAATTTCATATAAGTATAATATACAGACATCTCAACCCGTCTTTATTGTGTCTCGTAGACACTAGACGCTGACGTGACATGTAATTTTAGAGGTGTCTAGATGATCATTCTGTAAGTTAAAGTGTTCAACTGACACAATAAAATGAGTTGAGGTGACTAGATGTGTATCTTCAAGAGTGGAGTCTTTAGTTGTCAATTGAGGTAAAGTTAAGATGTCTATATAGTATTGTCCTTATTAACATTTTCGTCGAAGTGTATTCAACTGGTTATCCTTCATAATACATGGTTGCACTACTATTAAGGAAGCGTGTGGTGAGACGATGGATATCTACGTTAGATCAAGCTTTGGAGATGGAGAAATTAATCTTTGTATATATAGAGAAGAATTCAGGATTTAAATATTATGAGTTTAAATTTGAGACTTATCACTATTCACTTAATTTACTGGTTTCAATTTTTTTTATCAATGATGTGACACAGTGGTTAATTACGAGATTAGTGAGAATCATCATGAGGTCATCTAAGTGCAAATCTCAGTGGAGTAAAAAATACTAGATGATTTCTTCTTATTTATCCAAGCTTGATAGACATATACAGAGACTACCCATTATCAGTGGCTAGCTAGTACCTCATAAGATTAGTCGAGGTGAGACCAAACTGACTCTAACACAATTATAAAAATAAACTATTGAGTTCGAAATAAATTATATTATATATTGATTCAGTAAGTTTTTTGAAATATATAGCACTTGATTCCAATGAACTCATATATTACATACTAGATCCGTCTTTGTTGGTAGGTCTCTTTATTCAAATCTTACCCATGAATTAATCAGATCGGTACGGAAAAAAAAGGTAATGGTATTTTGTCATTTGGTTAGGAGAGGGACGTTGCCTTAAAGTTTTCTTGGCTTAACATAAAGTAGCTAGTATTATTGCCCTCGAACTACTAGTCTCTCTTGTCCAAATATCATTTATATCAAATAATTGTTTTAACAACTAAAAGACACAATTCTAATATGGTTATCCAAGAGTAGTAAAATTTTGTTAGTGCTTACTTTCTCTTTTTTAAAAATTTTGCATTGGAATTGCTATCTTTTATTTATTTTTAATCACTTTCTTGAAGGGTACATAAAATTTATCAACATGATCAACTTTTACTCCATTGGTGTTAATTAGCTTGCAAGTACCTAAAAACACATTTATTTAAACTTATCATAAATTTGCATGCCTACTCTTTGATAGTGATATGTGCAAGGGGTCTGTTTAACTATTTTCAGTAAATATTTGACTAGCATCCTATTTGATCGTCCTCATTTAACTTGTATCGAATTTTTTTAAAAAAAAATATAAGTGTTGTCTGATTTAATGTGAATTTTTTTTAAAAAAATAGTTTCCCTCTGCTTATTCTTATGTTGCTTCAAAAACTTTGCTCGATATTGATCAAAAGAAATTTCATGGTTTATTATATTGTAAATTCCCCTAAATTTCAATTTATTTATGAGTTAATTTTAGGCTTAAAAGATATAAATTAGATTGAGGTACATGAATTAAATTAAATGAAGGTACTATAAAACACCAAGCTAATGTAGGTACCATGAATAAAACTTCAACTTGGCTTTGTCAAGGCTATAATTTAAATAAAAATGTCTAAAGTCATGGAAGGTATTATGTACCATGAATGAAACTCCAACTTCAAATAAATATGTCTCAAGTTTGGTCTTATCAAGGTCACCTTCATATAAATATGTTGAAGTTGGCCTTGTCAAGACATTATATATCTGAAGCCTCGCTAAGGTTATAACTTTAGTTGAAAATGCCTGAACTAATAATATTCTGCATATAGTCTAAATTATTTCACGTGATATCGAAATAGATAAAAATCTTAAATTCAAGTCTTACTTTCACCCTTAATTCGAAAAAATAATAATAATAAAAGATTCTATGTACGTGGTTGCATGCCTAAGAAAAGAACCTAATCAACACGTGAGGTAATGTGTTAAGTACTTAAGTAAATAAAAGTGCATTATCGATCTCTAATAATTTAAACTTTCAGATAAAATGATTACGTACAAAACTCTAAAATAAATTATGTGTAGAGTTTTATTGACTGGATATTGAAAGATACACATACAATTCCTTAGAGAATGTAAGTTACTCAGTTCAAGTTAAATAAATAGGTTTTCGGCCAAAGTTACTTGAATTCTATTAGACCCATAAGTAAAGACTGAGTCAGAATTTAAACTTTGTGAGTTCGAGATTAAGTTAATAAATGAATTTAAAATTTAATATTTATACATGCTTAGTAATTAGTACACCCTCTGTCCCATATTTCACATTTTCATTTCACACGCCCTTTAAGAAATCGTGTGTTTTACTAATTTTATCCTTAACTCTTTTCAATGTACTCAGAATAGTTTACTTTAAAAAAAAACAATTAATTTCAAGGGAAAAATGAATAAAAACTTTATTAATGTTATCTCGACTTAGTAAATTGACAAGTATTTTGGAACGAACATTTTTGACAACTAATACAAGATGGATGGAGTAGGAAATCTTGATATATATACAAAGTCACTAGGTTCGACCGAACACACATATGTAACACTCTCAGTCTCCCATGCCCACCCGATAAGCAGAACTGTATCTCCGCCCTAGAAAATTGTCCTTTTTGTGGATGTTGTAGCTAGCATGAAAGTAAAATAAAAGGTGTCATGAAAGTAAAATGAGGGTTGTGTACAATATTGTAAAAGAAGACATTTATACCTTGAAGACAATATAGACAAAACTTAGCCTTACACACAGCCCTGTTTTGTCATAAGTGATATCATGTCAATGTGAGGGAGAGCATGCTTAAGATTATGAAAATCCAAATGACCCTTCTCTTTACTGTATATGCAGTCTCAAGCTTTCCATTGTCTCATTGAACTGTTCCTATCAACCACAATATACTATGTAAAGAATACTATCTTTCCCTAATCAATTTTTTAGGTGGTGTTATATCCAAACAACAACGTACTGATTAGTGAGGTCTGAAAAAGGTAGAGTGTATGCAGGCAGACTTAACCTTTATCTCGTGGAGATAGAGTGGTGTTTTGTGCTCATTTTTAGTAAATGTGTTTGTTTGATGAGTGTCATGCATCTTCTAAAGATTCCATAGGGGGAGATAAAGATGTCTCCTACGTTATTCATAATATGTGGAAGCATGACGTAATTTCAAAGTCATTCAGTCTAAATGCTAGCTACATGAAGAACGTAAGCCAGATAACGAAATGGGATGACCTAGGATGTAGAAGCTACGATCATAACACGAGTGATTCGACAGATTTGGATTTATATTTATCTATATAAAGTGAAATAGGTGGATTCCCATGTCATAATACTTCTAGGTAAATGATTTACTCTTACTTTAAGGCAAGAATGTCAATAGTCTCTTTTATCCTCACAATATATTTCTGACTCTTTAAAAATGCTGACAAGTGTATGCCTGATGTATTTTTAGAGGATCTAATACGGATGACGGTATTTACGGAGTGTCAGAACAACAAAGCTCACAAGAGAAAAAAGTGAAGAGAAATAACAATGAGCCTTCCATAAGATTTTGGCAAATTACAAAAAAATGTCATTTGCCTGTATCTCATACTGAAATTGGATTTATAGTCTAAAATCACATTTCCTAAAACTAGATGATGGTGTTGATTTCAACAAGAAATGCCTCTGCAAAACCTCTTTAAACCAAAGCCTAATTCGAAGAGCACCGAGTATCAAGCCATGAGATAATGTCGTTGAGCACAGTAAGAATCCGGTCATCAGGTTCACCTTCAAGAATGCAGTGATACCCTCCATCGTAGAGCTTAAGAGTTTTGTCACTGCTGGAAGACTTGTCATACAGGTACTGACTCACGCGAGGATCTGTCACTTTATCGTCTGCTCCATGAAGAATGAGCATCGGGGATGCCACCTGCAAGTGTTGTACATACAGACCGTTAATTCCTTCAGACAAAGCTGGAAAACATGATGGTGTTTTGTTGATAAACGCGGATATGTACTGACCTTATCCACCTGCGATTCAATGTATTTTGTAGCATTTAAGAGTTCCACGGCAGTTTTCACACGTGTTTTATCGGAGTAAGAGATTACATTGTATGGAGCCTAAAAAAGAATGAGACAAAAACTAGCTTCAGTAAGACATCAGTACAGAGCTGTACTAAGCATACATTGAACATCAATGTGCATATAAGTGTAGCTCGGTGCACTAAGCTCCAGCTATGCACGGGGTCCAGAGAAGGGCTGGAAGTTACATGGCATAGCTTAGCGCATCATGCTGAGGGTCGTAAGGGGTATTCCAGAACAAAATGCTATACAAACTCTCGATGGAAAAACAGTGAACAGGTTTATACAGAGTAAAGGAGTCCATAAATGCATACTATATCAAATATCTCAATAAGGGGACGAGACGGGGCTTGAAAGAGGACAATGGAGGGTTTACCACGGATGGGACAAATAGATTTCTTTAAAAATATAAAGCAGACATCATTTGGCTAGTATTCTTCCTCACTTAACATTAAGAGAGTAAATAGAGGCATTACCATTTTCCTTTTCTTGAATTCCCTGATTGCCAATTCCGCCAAATCCTTCGTAGGGACTATCTTTGCTTGTGGCATAATGTTAGACAAAAAAATCAAGACTTTCTGCAGTGGAACTGGTGGCGTCATGTCTTCTGCAATCTTAGCAGACCACCAGAGAGTCAGCGAAATTCTTGCATTAAGAAAGTTCAAATTCCCCAAACATGATAAAAATTTCAACAAGCAGAGAATTTGGTGGCAATGCTGAGAGGAAAACATAATTTCTTTCTACAGTGAAATCA